TCCGGCTCCAGGCAGAAGCAGGCAGCAGTGCCGGCAGGGAGACAGGCAGGGCTCTCCTGTGCTGCCTCTTCACCCAACGCTTCGCGAGCTCTCGGGCCGTGTTTCCAGCACACCTTGGCAGCAAGAACTGGGGGGCTGGCAACCGAGAGCCTCACAGGGTCACCGGGCTTTGCAGAAAAATTTGACCTCTTGACGCCGGTGCTTGGGAGCGAGGCGGCAGAGCTGGCAGCACAGCATCTTCAGGGGCACAGTGGCCATATCCAGCTGTGCTGGGGACCTCAGTTTTGGCCTAAACCCACTGGCCAAGGTGGGGGCAAGGGCCGAGTGCCCTGGGTGGATCAGGAACCAGCTGTGTGGGATTCCGGCTGTGTCCTGGCATCTCAGGGTACCACCCTGCATGCCTGCGGGGTGGGGGGCAGCCCCCTGGATGCCAGCAGCCAGGGCAGAGTTGGTGCCCGGATGGGGATGGGCACAGCATGCTCCCTCCAAGGCCATGTGCCCAGGGATCTGCAGGCAGCTGATGCCTGGGGATGTCCGGGCATGTCCCAAAGCTGGCAAGAAGTCACTCTCCCACCCAAAGCACGGTGGTAGCCTGGTTCACTTGCAAGGCAGGGAGCAGCCAGGCATCAGTCCCTTTGGGCCATAGGAAGCCCCCCCGAAAAAGACTATATGGGTGAGAGGGATGAGCTTGGCTCCGTGCACAACTGGGGGAACCCCTGGCACTGCCCAGAGACAGTGATCCCCCCTTGCCTGCTTTCCTTGCAGAAACATGCACACACAAACACATCCCCTGCCTGCCCTCCTACCCTACTCCAGCCCTTGCTCATCTGCCCTCGTGTCCCCCTCCCAGATGCCAGCAGAGCTGCATCCCATCGAGGGCTTGTGCCCAGCTGCCCTCAGTCACTTCTGCCCATTGTATGCAAGCCCCTGGTGTGGAGCTGTGCACCCCAGGCCACCCACCCTGCACCCCACAGGCAGGGCTTGGGGTGGGGGGAGCCCTTGGTGACATGGGCTGTGCCAAGCCACACAGGGTGACACCGAGGGACACGCTGCCTGAAACCAGCCTTCAGCCTTGGCTGGGCTCCGTGAGCCCTGCTGAAACACCTGAATCCGGGCACAGGGCAGGCATATCTGCGATCAGCAGTGACACGCATGGGTGGGAAATGTCCTTTTCTGTTCCCAGGACTCATCCCCGAGAGCTGCAGGGAGCTTTGGCACAGCGGGGCAGGGAGCAGCACCCTCAGGGGAGTGCAAAGGTCCGATCCAGATGAGCCAGAGCTGTGCATCACCACCCACACTCCTGACGCAGGAGGTGGCAATCACCCAGCACGATCCTCCACACCCCTGAGCACCCTTTGAAGATGAAACGCACCCAGGGAGCACCCACAGGACCCTGCACACAGCTGCCTGGCTCACCCAGAGCCCCTTCAAGGTCTGATGGAGCACCCTGTGCCGTCCCCTGCTCACACCCCCAGCTTTCCTGCTGCCTCCAGCTTAATCATTGCCCGGGTGTCTGGCAGGCAGCGCTCTGCCCGGCCTCTCCCAGCTTGTTTGCCATCGCCCCAAGGTCGGGCAGAGCGAAGGGCAGCAGTGACACACACGGCACTGCTGGCATATGCTGCACCCTGCCAGCACCCTGCCTGGGCCAGACCAGCACATCCCTCGCCTCTCAGGACCCCCCCCAAACTGATGCCGTCCCCAGGGCTCTGCCAAAGGTGCCACATACCCTTCAGGGACAGTTTTCCCTCCCCAAACCATGTTTGTCCCCACAGAGCATGTCAGACCCCCT